CCTACTGAACACATTGCTGTTTGAAATCTATTATTTAATTCTAAAATTATTTTGTTTTCATTATCTATGTTTTGTTTGGATTTCTTGTTATTGTAATGCTTCATCATTTACCTTAAACTCTTACTCTGGATTTGATGTTTTTATTATATTCTAAAAGTTTTCTGCAATTGTTCACTTGTAATTTCTTGTAGTCCATAGCTTCACTCTTTTGATAAGATCTTCTCCCTTTGATTTCTCTGTTGTTTGTTAGAATTTTGTTTCTAGGGTAAGATTTCCCTCAGATAGGATTTTCCTTCCTCTGCCTCTCTTTGCCTTTCAGCCCCCATGAAGTGGGAAGTTTGCTGGCCCACACACTTCTTGTATGATATACTGCCCTTCCACAGGCCCAAAGACAATGGGCCCTGTGACCATGGACTGTAGCCTGAAAACATTAGCCAAAACAAACTTTTCTTTCTTATAACTGAATATCTCAGGTAGTGAGAATGAAAAAGTGACTGTCATACTCAGTGATATCCTGCATGTAACCTATCAATTACTGGATACCTTTGTAAGAGATCTTAGGTCTTGTCACTGCCATTAGACTTACCAGGTAAACACGGGCTCATGAAAGGACCCAGGAGATGTCAGCCAAACTGGACCACGGTCTCAAGCTAAATTAGTGGTTGTTTTAAGCCACTGTATTTCTGGGACCAATTTGTTATGTTCCAAAGTCAACTCATTTAGCTCTTCTCCTTGTTAGTTGTTAAGTTCAGGAAGACAACTTTAAAATGAAGGTAGGTTACTCAGCCAGATTTACAATACTCAGTTGTTTAAATTTGTTAATTAGGGGATGACTGAACATTAATCATAATATACATTCAGCCAGAGTTACTGGTCAGTTATTCAATACTCTATAACCTACCTTCATAGAGTCAAGCATGGTACTTGTCACATCTTTGTTATTTTTTGAATGAAAGAAGTCCAGGTAATCAAAACCATATTCCTGACATACTTTTTTCCTTACCCTGGCTTTACTAATCTTGTGCTCTCAATTTTATATGGACAAAAATATGATTAATTGAATGCAACTCCTCTATTTTTTTCTTATGCCCATTCCCCTCTATGTTGTATTTTATTCAAAAAGGTATTAATCATCAAAAGAATTTACAATGAATTCATGTTGGCTTGTCAATAAGGGAAATCTCAGCGCAAATCCTACAAAAGGGCACAGAAAATAATGGCAAACAAATGCGCAGAAGCAAATCATTATTGAATACAGCCAAATGTCACGTTTCTTTTCAGCCCCGAGGGCTTAGGACCCCTTTAATGGGCTTTGTTAGGAAAGATCTAAAGGCTTTCATGTCACAGAGCCTAGAAGGGTGATAATTTTGTTCTTTCCAGCCTGACCTGTTCCTTTGAGGCTGCCTGGCTGCTCCTTGGTGAAAGGTCTAGGGAGGGGTGCCACACTGACCTAGATGAGTCCCAGCCCTAACACTTTGCTAGATGTCAATAAATTTTAGGCTCACTTGCCTGTTGTAACTCCACCGGTGAGATTAGCATTCATGCTGTCTCTGAATTTGCATTCGTACAAAATAGCACTCTCAATTTGGCTTAGTGAAAAAAGACCCCATTGAAGTCTGCAAATAGGATTTAGGCTTGGCTTCCAAACCCACTCCTTGGGCAACTTTTGGCAATCCTCAAATCTGTAATATGAGGAGGAGAGAATCCTCTACCAAGGAGGAGTTAGGTTTTACTGAGCTCAAGAATTCCAGTCAGACCATATGTGTGTTTAGGTTTTGGGCCTCAAAATAAGCATAACAAGGCAACACTAAACAAATGGTAATAAAAACAATCTTAGACTAAGAAAAAGAGCTATGGATGGAAAGTCTACATCTTGAAGCCAAGTTCACATTTGCTTGAGTGAACCCAGTGTCAGAGTATGTTCTTCTACCTGGGCTGCAACAGCTCCCCTAAGAACCCTAAACTAAAGAACCTGGATGCTAACAGAGGCTAAGGATGTGTCAGATTTAAGCAGCCCTTTCTAATTCACTAACTAAACTCCGTTGTTTTTTTCCCAGTGTGTGGACCTACCTGGCTTTGCTTAACCCATCTATCCTACAGCTATTAACTGAACACTGGCTGTGTGCCAGACATCGTGGCAAGCACAGGCTGGTGGCTGTGTGAGCCCTTGAGTGGTTTCTTGATTTATATTTCACTGCTGTCCCATGCTATCCCTAATGATCCAGTTTCCATTGGTATATCTTACAAAATAATGACACCCAGTCTTCAGTTCTGTGACATGGGGTGCTTGCTGCAACATATATAATTAAAAGAAAACTATTCCTGAAGTGTTCAATGTTTTGTTATGCAAAAATCTTGTATATATTTTATGCTTCTGGCAAGTGCATCTGGATTTGGAGTAGCCACATTTTAAGGGCTTACTATGATTTAGATCTAAATTTTAAGAAGAAGATTGAGTCCTGGGGTCACTGAATACAGGATGTACCCTGGGGTGGGTTCAGGGTTCGATGTGCTTTAGGAGAGGCCCTGGTAGAAACTGTCACTGGGGATGGTATATCTTTGTGCCCAGCTCCTTTCTCTGTTACATGACCATCCTGAATCAAGCCCCGTTCCTTCTGCCTCACCCCTTGGCCATCCTCCTGGCTTGGAGGCTGCTGACTACAGACCAGAAACAAGAACCAGAATAAATTCCTGCTCCTATAAGTTGTGAGTGTTCTGTATTTTGCCTCACCTGCTGAGCAATGCACCTCCAAGGGTTATTTCCATGCACCCATCTATTTATCTACCTATATTTGAACATTTTGTGTCCAGCACTCTTTTAAGTTCTTATATTGCACAAATACATGACAGTTCTTGCCCTCAAGTAGCTGTAGAGTACACACCCATAACAAGTAGACAAGCACTTTACACCAGTTATGCCAGAAAGGTACAGTGTGTGGTGCGCATGACACAAGAGCACCCAGAAGAGGGGCACCTGGGACCATGTATGGAGGAGGAGGTGACACTGAATTTGTTCATAAGAAAGGAGGATGAGAAAAGAATATCTCAGGGGCCGGAAGAGCATAAGCGAAAGCACAAGGCATTGGGGAGTCTTAACAGAGTGAGACACACGGAGCAGACAGAAGAGCTGAACGACACCCAGGCCAGCAGAAAAGGGGAGAAAGAAGAAGGGAGGGAGACGGATGAGACTCACCACAAAGGGCCTTCCTTGTGTGCCTTTGTAGTTTATCCTGAAGATGAAAGGGGCCATCATCCTTGCGGACTGAATAAATAGACACAGAAACATAAAATATAATACAGAGTCATGGTTAAGAAGGTGGGCCCTGGGAGTGGACTTTCTGACCTTGAACTTGAGGCTGGATACTTGTGTGTGTCTTTGGCAAACCATTTGTCCTCTCTGTGCATAGATATTCTCAGATCTAATTGTAGGTACTAGCAGTACCTCTGTTGCAAGGCTGTTGTGAGAACCCAGTGGACTGGTGTATGGACCATGCTTAGAATGACTCCCGCAGTAGGTTTGGAGAAATAGTTGGTATCATTGCAGCATTTTAAGTGGTAAAGTGTATTAAAGAGATCTGCAGTTCACAAATTCAGTGTCAGCTGAGCATGAAAAATACATTCAAGAGGAGGTGCCTCAGAAGACTTAGCAAGGTCTAAAAGCAGGACACGGAGTAGACATAGCAACTGTTGGCAGCTTTGAGAGGTGTGCAAGATTAAGAGCTCAGACAGAATCAATAAAAAAGAAGAGGCACTGGGAAATCCATAGGACACCCATGTTGGTGCCGTGCACCAGGGTGCTTGGGCAACGGCACATTTTAACAGTGTGGGAGGTGCAGAGGGACTTTGGATGGCACTGGAGAGCAGGTGGGAAGGGTGAACATCGACAGAAAATGGTCAGTGTCCTTTGACACATTAAGTTTGAGACGATTAATAGACATCCTAGTGTGAGCATTTAATAGGAGAGGGGAGCATGGACTTAAATCTTAGGAGAAATACCAAAGAGTTGACTTCCCATTTTCCAAGATGTCTAACAATCTCATGGCTGTTGATAAATGTAAATTTTGAGGCTATACTGGGAATCCTTTCACAAAATTGTTTACATTTTTTTCCCTGTGAGATGGAAAATTTACTGTATAATTTAAAACAGTTTTATATGAACACCATAAGCAGATCAGGTTATAGTATACATTATTTTAAAATGACTATACAGACTTACACAAAGGCACAACTCATTTTAAAATGAGTGTTAAAAACGACGGCAGTCTCTGTAACGCAGAGCACGTTTATTCCATTTTACATAGAAATGAAAAGCACGGGTCATAATCCTGCAACTTCTCCTCACATGTCTGATAATGACTGTAACATGGGCAGGTGCAAGAAATTAGAGGGGAAACTATGCTCCGAAAGTGTTTTCCTCTCAGTGAATTTTGTGTGGAAGCAGAGTGCATTTTTAGCATGTAGAGAGACTATCTGCCGTGCAGTATGGAATGTACTTTTGAGATTCAGACTCAAGTCGTTCAGTAAATTCAGGAAATATGTATGTAAACTAATGCCAGAGAAGTGGATCCCTGGACGCCGGGGCTCTGCTAGAGCCATTTATAGGGGAAAATCCCCAGACCTAACTGAAGGGGTTCATTTAGCAGATGTTGCACCTGGAAAGCCCTGAGACAGGGAGGAGGACCTTGTGACAAAGGACAGATGTAGGGTGAGCTGGAGAGTTAGAAAAACCAGTGGAGAAAGGCGCTGAGTGTGAGGGCTCGGAGTCAGCCAGGAGAATGGAAAGATGAAGTGGTAGGGTTGGGACAGATTTTATTCCTGTTCCACACTCACGTGACCCTTTTCTGAGTGAGGATTATGCATTTTAGTTTAATGGACATCCCTTGCCCTTGACCTCGTGCCTAAAGAAAGTAAGTGAAATGGATGATTGTATTTCTGCTTCTTTCATGCAGAAGTTTGGAGAATGATTGCAAATTTTCCCATCTTTGTTCTTCCCCTTCCAGAACAGCAGACCATTCCAGATCAGCGCAGCCTGTGGTGCCCACTCAAAGTGCAGAAGAAATTGCTCTTCACTGTTGAAGGCCACGGAAGTTTTGTGATCCTTTGTCACTGCAGCACAAAGCCGGCTAATAAAGATCAAAGGTGTGGTTATACACAGATCAAGGGCTGGCTTTAGATTCGTCTAAAAATAAGGGTTCTGACCTCTAGATATCTAGCAAGAGAAGCTGTTCGTGGAACTCTGGTGTAGGGTCACAGCAGGGTGACATCATGGATACAAAAAGCGGGCAGTAAATTGGCTGCTTTATGCTGTAGAAAAGATATTTACAGTCTCCCTCCCCTCTTAGGACCTTGCTTTCTAATGCGGTTAACAAACCTACCTTCCAGCATTTATCATAATGATTGAGCACGGTAATGAGTGGTTCACAGAATGTCTAGTACACAGGAAATACCAAGTAAATAGTCATTTAATCATTATTTTGGTCTTGCACAGTCAGATATATTTAAAATTAGGAATTTCATAAGAGCAGATTGTGTCAACTTGTGCATGAAAGGCTACATGTTAGGAAGCTTCTATAAAATTAAATACACAGTTTGTTGTACATTGTGACACATGTTAATTTTCATATGTTTAAGCAAGACATTATTCATAAGAAAAGTGTGACTTGTAAAGGGAAAAGCAGTTAATCTCTAAGGGGTGAAATGATGACAAAAGTAATAGACCACTCATAAAGGATGGAAAAGGATTATAGAGCAGGAAAATATGAATTTTAGCAAACATGTGTGATCAATAGTGTCCATCTTGAAGGTGCTCACGTCTAACGCCAAGAGCTGGTGGAGGTGGTAGGTTTCATGGCAAAGACGTTAATGGAATTAAGTTTGCTAATTAGGGGAATCTGAAATGAGATGACCTAAGATTATCCAGGAAGACTCAATCTACTCAGAAAAGTTGTTGTAAGTGGAAGAGAGGAGCATGAGGAAATCAGAGAGAGGACGATATGAAACAGACTTGGCTGAAAATGGAAGAACGTCCCCTGAGCTCAGAGTAGCCTCTGGATGATAAAGAAGGCAAGTGTGTGAGTCGCTTTCCCTTATTGTGACAAAATACCTGAGATTACTAAAAAAGCAGGAAAGGTCTATTTTGGCTCATGGGTTTCGGTCCATGGTCAGCTTGGGCGTTTGGCATTATGATGTGTCACAGCAGGTTTGCTGGGTCGAGGATGTCTGAGTGTCCCACAGTGGTCAAGAAAGCAGAGACTGGGTCCCCCTTTTCGCTTAGAAGGCACGCTCCCAGTTACCTCCTGAATGTTCTACCCCTTCCAGAAGTGCCAAAGGCCAGGACCAAGGCTTCAAAACAAGGCCCTTTCAGAAGCATCAAAGACTCAAACTATGGCACCAAGAAAGTGAATTCTCCCCTAGGGCCTGGGAGGAGCACAGCCCTGCTGATATCTTGTTTTAGACCACTGAGACCTTTCTAAAAGGGACCTGAAAAATTTTATATATCCACACAAAAAATGACACCCTTAGCCAACTTAGTCAAAAATGAATCATTGGTATAAGTAATAAAATTAAAACTAGAAACAGTCCAAAAGAAACAGAGGAGAAATCTTTGGGACCTTGAGTTAGGTAGGATGTATCAGATACTGCACAGCTCTGATTGCTGTGAATGTTTTTTTAAAACAATTTTAACAAAAGATATTTCCTTCCTCTATGGGAAATGCTTTTAAGTACTGTACTGAGCTGTCACTTGCCCTACCCAGTTATATATTTGTACTTCATTAGAAAATTCTGAAGTTTGTTTTTCTTCCTCATCTATGACTTCATGACAAGGGGCTGGCTTGAAGCGTATTGGCACTTGTGTCAGACATTTGTGCTGCGGTCATTACCTTCGCTCCCAGCTCTGTAAATTGTTGCTCTGAGAGGTAGTGGAGTGGGAAGGCCACCTGCTGGGCTTGCAACACGGGCATTTTCAGTTAAAAAAAGATCGAATTCCATAGAAAACAGACTCCATTTCCTTATCTCTTTCTCTCACACAGTAGTAATCTTGAGACAGTAAGTGAAGGTTGGATAGCTACTGGGGCCCAGATTTTGGGGGCAGATTGGTAGAAAATATATATTTATTATATTATATTGTATTATATCTGTATATATATTTTGTGGTGCTAGGGCTCGAATTCAGGGCCTTATGTATGCAAGGAAAGAGCTCAACCACTGAGCCAACCCCCAGCCCCAATGTATTATATTAAAGAAAGGGGCACATTAGCAAAATAAGAAAATTCATAGGAAACCAGTAGAAGATATTCTTGAGTGTATAAGAAAGTTATTGTTTATATTAAGATGACAAGGTTTTCACAAAGCCCCTCCTTACTGAATTACCCATCTGTGACACACTGATACGTGTAATTTATTAAGTCCTTAGTGAAGAGCGAGAAACATTCCTGGGATGTTCCTAAAGGTGAAGCTGTCACTGAAAGGCCACCTTCAGAATGCTGGTCTTGTGGCCAGTAGCTGTGGCAGTTTAGATGGAGTATCCATGTGATCAGCTTCAAGAGCCGCCCTGGGGCTGGGTTGAGACACTTCTGGCAGTGTCCCAGGGGTCCTGCAGGCGTGACCTTAGGGTCACCTTCCTCTCGTGGTGTTGAATATTGTATCTGAGTAGTGGGAATGGTGATTTATAGGATACGTTAAGTAGAAACTTTAGTTGACTCTGCTTTGTTTTAGGCAAGTCATTTAATCTCTGAATCCTCTATTTCTCATTTCTAAAACAGATTTTTAACCTATCAGTGAAGTGATCATGTGCTTGAACGGTTTAGAAGACTGACTAATATGTAAATGTTAGTTACCATTTTTAACAAAATTCTTTTTAAATATTTAGATCTTTGATCAACTTTGATTTTAGTTTGGTGCATGGTGATAGACATGGGTCTAGTTTTAGCCTTCAGCATATGGAAAGCCAGTTTTTTCAGGGCCATTTATTAAAGAGAATATCTTTCAGTAAACATGCTTGGCTCCTTTGTTAAAGGTAAGGTGGCCAAGTGTGTTTGGAGTTGTGGGTACATTTTCTAATCTGTCCCACTGATCTGTGGGTCAGTTTATTTGCCAGTACCATGCTGTGTTTCTTACAGTAGCTTTGTAGTATCATTGCAAGTCTGGAATTGTGATGCCACTCACTTTGCCTTTGTTGCGCAGATTGTTTTTGCTAGTCTTTTGGTTCCAAATGGATTTTTAGGAATGTTTTCTCTAGTTCTATGAGGTGTGCTGGTGTTATTTTGATTAGGATTGCATTAAATCTGTGTAACAAGTTGGGAGTATGGCAGTTTTCACTATTTGGTTCTTCCTCCTATTAACAAGGGATATCTTTCCATTTTCTGATATTTTCTCCTATCTCTTTTTTTCAGAGCACTATAATTTTCAGTGTAGAGCTCTTTTACTTCCTTTGTTAGATTCATTACTAAATGTTTCATTTTTTTTTTGTGAAAGGTGTGGTTTCCCCAAGTTCTCTCTCAGTGAGTTTATTATTTGTGTACAGGAATGCCATTCATTTTTGGCATTGACTTTGTGTCCAGTTTTGCGACCACATCTGGTGATTAAATCTTTTAATGGAGTTTTTAGGGTCTTCTATGCATGGTATTGGATAGCAACATTCTTACCTTATTTTGTATACCTCAGTGAGATGGGAAAGACAATTAAGAGGTTGTTCAAGGAGTTGAACAAGGGACGGAATTTTATATGTAATGCAAGTTCCTAGTTTGTCTCTGAGTGAGGATAGAACCAGCTCTAGAGAAGCGAGGCGGGTGGCAGAGAGGGAGTCTTTGGGATTTTAATGATGGAAACTCTCAGGTCTGCAGGGCCCCATCAGTTTTAAAAAAGGTGTAGGGTTTGATATTTCCGGTGCTGCAAAGCAGGTTGTATCAAGTGGATTATTGTGGTGTTTTTTTTTTTTATTTAAAGAGAAGAAAAAAAAAAGAAAGGACATAAAAAAAACAATTCAGTAAAAGGGTACAAATAATACAGTATTTCTAGGAAAAAAATATATACAGTACGAAATCACCAGTTAACAGGCTACACATTATCTTCCCAGAAACAGTTGTCCATATCACTAAATTAAAGCATATAAAGTGAACATTCATACAGTGGAATTGGAGACAGTTCCGTTCAATGATCCAACAAAAGCTCAGTTATATGATTTTCCGTCCTCCACTCTCGAACATACCTGCGGTTATATCCCTTAGTCCACTTTACTTTCCTCTCTTTTTTACAGTAACAATTAGACTTTTAGGGTTTTATTACTCTCATGGTTCTTATTACTTTTTTGAAGGGAATAAAAACAAATGTGACTAAGCAAAACAGAGTCAGAACAGAAGGGTGGGCATAGCACGTGATGCAAAAATAAAATACTAGGTGATCAAAAGTGGTTACCATTGTGCCTCTTGCTATTTTCAAATTGAGTTGTCTATATCACCAGGTATAATAGAATTGATCAAAACAATACGGAACAAAACCAATAAAATCTACACTGAGGACCTTACAGGACTTCAAAAAAAAAAAAAAAGAGGATGATAATCAATCCATATTGGGCATCATAGTATATCTTATTGCCTTCATGGTGGTCTTTTCTCAGTGACAGAATTGGAGCTTTCCAGGGAATGGTATTTACTGTTTCTTTTGCTTAACACAATTGTGAGATAATCTGCATACATCTGAAGTCTCATAATGGCCTTGATTTTAATCTTTTTGACCAAGGAATACACACATAAATCCTTAAGTATATGATCTTTTGGCTTGCGTTCACAAAGCCCTCATTCTCTGGCTAACATCTTGGCCTGTCCTATTTCATTTTATTTTGCTTCATTTTGTTTTTCCTGCTTACCCAGGGCTAACATTGACAAAAGCAGATAGACATTTCCCAAAATCTGTGTGGGATCGTGGGATGGGAACAGTAGATTTATCTGTAGTTTGGGACCCTTCTTCCCTTGGATGTCCTAATCTGTCCTCCAGATTTTCCATCTCTTAATCCTGATGTGCATTTCTGGCTTCAGTTTGTACTATGCCTTTCACCAGAGTTGGGGTCATCTCACTGCTGCCTCTTTGGGCTGGGTTCCCTACCCCCATTTCACCCCACGACATTCAAGGGGCCTCCAGCCTCTAAGTGGCCCAAAATTCAGGTAGGTGCCACTGTGAAATGAGGAGGTTATTTATTACTTTCTGTTTATTAAGCACTCACTTTCCAATGCATCTTGGCCTACAATACTGCATTCCAGTGTGGCCTCTCCCTGTGTGGTCTCTGTCTTTCCCTTTCCGTTGCTCTCACATGTCACGTGCTTCCTCTTAACAGATGTTTTTATCACAAGAGCAGTAATATGATTCGGGGACAAGATGCACTGATCCCCGATGGAGAGCCAAGCGCTCTAATGACAAACAGCACAGGTGGACTGAAGGCATCTGTGAAGGTGTGGGAGGGGCCCGAGGTGACACTGGAACCACGAGAGGACTCTTGTGTCTGAGAGCACCAGTGTCCAAGGTCTGAGTTTGGATTTCAGCTCTGATTTGCCTGATTTCTGAGCTCATGCCGTTACTGAGTACCCAAAACCCAGCCGACAGCCGACAGCGAGGAAACTCCCAGGATTGCTTTTCCCACGCAGGAGGGTGTATGGTGGGAGTTGTTCTGGGCAAGAGCGATGGCCAGAACAAGGTCACGGTTATTTCCCCCTTGCTGCTCTGCCGTCCTGCACACTGTGGCTTTTGAAGCTGGGACATGGGCTCACTTTTCACTGCCCAGCACATCACCTTCACGTTCAGAGCAAAAAAGAGGGGATGGCAGAGCTTCTCCAGGAGCCACCTTTTCCCAGGGCAGCAAGTTTTTCTGCCATCTTATTACACGTGTCCCCTCATCACGTCCACTTCCGAGGGATGCAGGGAAAAAGAAGCAGTTGTTCTCAGTATCCGTGCAACCCACAAAGTCTGCAGGAATTCCAAACATGAAGAAAATTCATGTCTGTACTGAGCACACACACACACATTTATTTTTGATATTATTCCTCTAACAATAATTAGCTCTGTGGCATTTAAAGTCCAGTTGAGTAACCTACGGTGATCTGAGGTATACAGGAGGGTGAGCGCAGGTTCTATACAAGTACTGTGCTACTTTATATAGGGACTGTAGCAGCTGAAGACCTGGATGTGGGCGGGGATCCTGGCACCTGTCCCCCTTGCACACACAGAGGGGACTGTATGTGATTTTCCAGACCTTTCTGGGGCACAGCAGCTGAGCAGAAGGCATCAGAGATGGATGCTCGGTGCATCACGCAGCAGTGTTTGCCACAAACGTTCCTCACCAAAGCCCTGTGTATCCACAAGGGCCAGGTCATGGGGCTCAGGGTAGCTGGAAAGGAGCCTAATCTGGACAGGGGCTTCTTCCTGTTCTAGTAGGCCCAGTGGATGGTGGAACAGCAGGACAGATCAGCTGTGTCCCCTTCATGCTGAGCAGGAGCAGTCATGTCATAGTTCTTACAGTCTGAGCAATGGTTTGAGTGTAGCTTGTGCCCTCTAAAGTTTGTGTTGGGGCTTGGTCCCTAGTGTAATAGGGTTGAGAAGAAGTGAGCATTTAAAGGGCACTCAGGTCGGAGCTGCAGGGCCTGCATGAGTGCATCGGTGGTTTTTGTGCAGCAGTGGATCGGTTCTTATTGAAACTGGTCTCCAATTTCCTCTCTTGCCTGTGCTTGTGAGTTTTTTTCTTTCCACCATACTGGGAAGCTAGTGATCCTCACTGGATTCCAACTAGCTACTAGTGCTGTGCTCCTGGGGCTCCAGAACCATAAGTCAGATATATGTCTTGCTTTATAAGCCATCAAGTTTCAGGTATTCTGTTACAGCAGCAGCAGATGGGCTAAGACCCTATTATTTTCAAAGACAACCCACTCCTGTGTCTTTCTAGAGAGCTTGCTGTAAGTATTTGTGAATACCCTCCTTGGTAAAGACTATGTTTGAATCCTGAGTCAACGATAAGATTGTGCAAGTACAGATAAGAAATATGATGATTCACTTTTATGGAGATGCCTAGAGTTGATACTATTAGGAAGTCTGAGAAACAAATTTCCAACCAGTATCACGAAGGCCATGTGGGGAGGTGGTTTTGTGAGGTTTGCTCTTACTCTGGCTACTTTGAGGTCTCATTTTTTTGTCTTTGTTGACTATGGAGGTTTTCATAGTTCACCCCTGCTTGACACAGATTATTTGGTGAATATTTACTGAATGAACAGGGAGTGGCTTTCCGTGAGCAAGATATTAGGTAAGAGGTGGATACTTGGGACAAGTAGAGAGAATTTTGATCACACACACAAGAGTTAGAGTTAGCCAGAGGGCTGAGAGGATCCAAGACTTTAGGAAGGAGGACAATTTTGCACACCTAAGATAAGTCAATGAGGGCACATGCAAAAGAGAAGGAAGGTTAGGATGGGATCCTCTAGCTGGGCTGGAGGGCCACAGAGACCTCAGGGAAAAGGATGAGCACGACAAGTAATTGGAATTTGTCTTCAGATCTTGCTCTGCCCTCTCATGAACATAATTTTGCTACCATCAGATGATCTACAGAGTAGCTGGCCAGTGTTAAAAGTAGTAGACCCTCAGGAGTTCTCTTCTGAAAGTTGAGATCTCTGTCTTTGGGCCAATTGATGCAGTCACAAATCTTGTAGAAAACCTTGCAGTCAAAATTTCTTAAAACAACCGTATTTGTAATAAATCCTTAGCATCGCTTGCTTTCTGAGGGCCAGTCTTCCTCCTCTATCTGATGAGTATCTGATTAGATTCTCTGCCTTTATGCGAAAATGTTTCAAAAGCCTCCCTTACTCTCAGTCAGTTGTAGATTTGACTCCTTTGGTGAGCCCTTGGGGCAGGAGGTACTTCTCTGTGTGTTTTCTTCTAGATGATTTGGTTTGGATTCAGCTTCTCAGTAGGCATCACCATGTATCAGGAAAGAGCAAGAAGGAGCAGAGGAGTGTGGGGAGCGGCGGAAGCTGGAGATGGATGCTGTATGGGACTGGACAAGGCCAGCCCCAAGAACACAAACACCTGAGACAAACCACGTAGATAAGCTATGAGGAGGTGAGGTTTCCCGCGATGCTCAGCCTCCCAAGGGTATAAAACAGACGCCCTGCAGCCAAGGCCTCTTGCTTCCTTCCTTCCTTCCTTCCTTCCTTCCTTCCTTCCTTCCTTCCTTCCTTCCTTCCCTTCCTCCCTCCCATCAGGAGAGAGGGCAAGCCTTCTGTGTTCTGACTCGTCCTTTTTTCCTATCCTCTCACTGACCTTACCTTGGGAACACCGAGAGCCTCGTGGGACAGGGCAAAGGAGGAGCAGCCTGGCATGCAGAGCATCTCAAGAACATCCTGAGTGTGACGACTCTGTGTCAGCACGCTCACGTTTGCCTTTGCTCTGGGATGGAGACTTTGTATGCATATTGGAAGCAGAGGGGTTGGCGCTCTTCTTCCTGTAGGTAAAGAGCTAAGCCTGTTTTGAGACACACAGTGAAAAATGGGCTTCCTAGTAACGGATGCTCAAGCAGTGGTGACAGAACTTAATCATCACCTTCAGCGAATACTCACCCCCTATGGATTTTATTTAAGCAAAAACATGTACTTTGGTGGTGGGGAAACTGATGTATGCCTGCATATCTGCAACGAGAAAAGTACAAAGCAAGGGTGTTCTTAATCATTGCATTTTGTGGCCCTGATGCCATTTTTGGAATCAATTGGCTATTTACTACACTGTTCAAAGAATAAATGAGAGGGAGAGGTGTGTGGGGGAGCAAAAAAGGATGGACAGAAGGAGGGGGGAGAGGGCGAAGACCGAGAAGCTGGAGATAATCCACTGCATTCATTCAGGAGGAAACCCAGCAGGTCTAGTTTTGCCCGGGACACCTTTACCCATATTGTATGATTAAAAACAGTCCTCACACTGTCAGCAAATGTTTGGTTTTATATCATTTACTACGATTGATTTTCTCTTCAAAGTTGAAAAGTCATAGTTGATAGAATTCGTGATTGTTACTCTCAGAATTTCCGTTCTTGGAAAATATACTTAAAATATTTTTTTAAACTTACATTTCAATGGCAACACATAGGTCGACACTAAAATTTAAATGTACCAGAGACACTTCAGTGAAAAGTATTTTTTCTTCCTGCAGTGATGCTGGAGTCAGTTTTGCTTTTTTTCCAGAGGAATCACGATAACCTGATCTTTTTAGATCTATCCAGCTATTTTCTATGTACATATTCATATTCCTTTTTTTCTTTTCAAAACACAGATGGAAACACATCTCACTTCATACCTTCTGTGGTGGATTGGTAACTGGTGGTCCCCTTGTAACACCAGCTGAACTGAATCAGTGTGGTGCTGAGTGTGGATGGCCCACGTGAGGATTGCTACCAACATAAAAAGGAGACCTGGAGAGGAAGAGTGTGCTGCTGGCTCTCCTGTTGCTGCTAATTTTCCTGGAGGGGCTTGTTGAGCTTCTTTCCTGATATGAACTTGGCTGTTCTCATCATCAGAGGACTTGGGACCTTGTTTTTCACTGTGGATGGCTGCAGTTCTCTTTGGGGGAGCTCTGGTCCTAACTTTGAGCATTGCTTCCTGGTTTCAGTGCGGAACCCTCAACTTCCTGGACAAACCCTTCATCCCAGTGGCACAAACTTTCTGGCTGCCACCACTGACTTTGGGCCTTGCTCGCACAGATCCATGAAACAGACTTTCATGAGTCCTTGTTGTGGGGTGTACCGGCCTCCACTTAGACTTATGGGGGGCATTGCTATGGGTTGTAGGTCTTCAGCTGGACTCATGCAGAATGTTGCCACAGGATCCAGGCCCTCAGATGGATTCTTTGTATCTTTGTGTGGACAGATTTCCTGTGCTTTCTTTTGTATTTGACTGGTTGATCGTTATAAAATAATACTGTAAATTATGTCTCCTGTATGTAGTCGTTTTCCTTGTAATTCCTGAATATAACACCTTCGTACTTCTTTCTGTTTCTTTACTGCATTTGGGCATTGTTTATTTCCCAGTAGTTATAGAAATGCTTTGTTATTTTTAAACATTGGATTACATTTTTCTTTATGGCAATCTTAGATTTGCTCCAATAGTGGTTAGTTGAGGGGGAAATATGTTACAAGACGCATGGCCTTATTTGTGTATTTCATACCTAAATGAGTTTTATGTGTAGAATAAAACTTTAGGTGTGAAACTTCTAGATTAGAATATGTGCTTTAAACATTTATTAACGTTAATAAGTAGCTGTTAATAACAGCTGTTCAGCTGTTTTCAAATTCTTCTTCATGGAATTTGTATAATTGTTTTTTATTTTAAGAAGAAAAAAGTAAAACAATTTCAAAACAAGATATTAGGAGACTAACATAATTAATACATTGCATATTATTATCTTCAGAGTAATTACTCAGGGTACAAGATATGGGCATATTTTCCAAACAATATTAGCACAAATCTTACTTTTCAATGAACTAAGAGAAACTCACAGTATAACTTTCTTAACTATCTTGCATATATATTTTTTTCTCTTCTTTCTCTTCTTCATCACAGTTTCTCTTTTCTTTTAAACATCTTCCCAGTTCACAGTATCTGTTGTTCATTTAGAGTTTATTTACTAATTCGACTTCTCACACTGGTGAGACTATATGATGTTTACACATACATGTCTGATTTATTTCACTTAACAGAATTGTCTCAAGTCTCATACTTTTAACTATAAAAGTCTCAAGCTTATCCTTCTTTATTACTTAATAGTATTCTGTTATATTTAAAAAAACACATTTTTTTTACCCATTCCTTAATTGGTGATCATTATTTCTAAGATTTAGCCATTACAGGAAATTTTGTAACTTTGAAAATGATATGATAGTTCATAATCCTCCCTCGGACCCAAATAGTCTTAAATTTGGATCAAGAAGGGAAAAGTTGTGTTCAAATTTGTTTTCTTTCCACTTATATCCAATTTAATTCGAGAAATACTCCCTGAGTTTCTGGTTGGTGAGGCTAACAGTGTTCAGGCTTTGACAGTGGAATTCAGGCTCGGAAACAAATTTAGGGTTTTCATTTCTATTTCCACCTCTTATGAGGCAGTGAGGGCTCCAGCTTGTACACCAAGGAAAGTAGTTCCCACATTAAGATTGGTGGGAACTTCCTGAGGTAACACACAAAAAGACTTTAAGGCATTCAATAGTAATATTAACTATCATTCCTACTATTACAAAATACTAAGTGGTCCTTCTTACATCTACAGTGTTTACTATAGAGAAATAACAGTTGAGAGCACTCAGTGAGCTAATGATTATAAAATATTCCAGAATTAAAAACTGCATGTGATTATAAGAATTGTTGTACATTTAATCTGCATGCTTTTGGGTTCCTAAATGGGAAGCCAAGCCATATTTTAATATATCAAAAGATATTAGAAGCTTACATATAAATTGTTGTTTTTCTTTTACTCATTTAGTAAATTTATGTTTTTAAGGATAATTGTTTAAAATAGTTACTATGATTAATTTGGTCATCATACTCCGAATATATTTTAGATGTTTCTGTTCTATTTATCTATCTATCTATCTATCTATCTATCTATCTATCTATCTATCTACTTACTTATCTATGCTTCATCCAGAAAGGGGAGAGAGCCAGTTGTACATTTTGTTATGGCACAGGATAGACCATGACACCAATTCAATCAATCCCCACTTCACAGATGAGGACAAGTTATATAATTAATGGGAAGACAAAGTGGTTAAATCCCCTTTTCTTTCAACCGTACCAATAACCACAAGTAATTCAATTCCTTATCTAAGCATCACTGGCGAATCAGGCATTACATAAAGTTTTGTCACCACCACATGGACTCAGACTGTTCTTAATGGAGAGACAACATGCCGATGGTTAATTGGAGAGAACATTTGTAATGTAATGCCTGAGACTGGGTGTGAGGACATGGAAACATTGTTTTTAGGTGCCATTGGAACTTAGAGCAGGAAAAATGGGTACATCAGTATTGTCAAAGTAACCTTTATAAAAGAAGCTTTAAGTCTTCATAAATATTTTTAAAACTGGCTTAAGTAATGGCTTTTACTAACCATCAACTTACACATTTTTATTAAAGCAGTGGGACTGAACCCAGGGCCTCGTGCATGCTAGGTAAGTGTTCTACTACTGAGCTACATCCCCAGCCTTACTTTAGAAGACGTTGGATGTTTAACGAGTGACAGTTGTGAGCCCCACGATGTGCTGGGCAGGCTCACAGGTGCACACATACGATGCAAGCTCAGTGATGGTCCCGTCTTCTTTGCTCTCTGACTGCTGACGTGGTAGAACTTATAGCTCTTTCTCTTTATCTCCTCAAATAACCTGCCTTATTATTGGTCACTATGTTGAATCCATGGTATAAATTCTAAAGTGGTTTTAAAAATACTTATACTAAGTATAATTTTTATATCTTGTATATGTATATTGTATATACGATTATTATGAGCATTTTACACATAAATGTATACACAAACATATAATGAATGTAATTAGAACTCAAGAGATACGACATGGATTTAAAAAAACATTAATTTTAAATATGGTTATATATAAATTACAGTTCAAGAAATAAAGTTATTTCTGTCTCTATGTCTGTCTCTCTGTCTCCATATGTGTGTCTTGGAGGTGACATTTTAAGAAATGCAGTGACAGTGCTGGTTGGTGACTCTTGTTTGTGTGTGGCCGTCATATTCCAGTGTCACTTATCCCTCCAGCCTTTGTGGAAACCCTTTGGAGTGCACTTTGCTACTAAATATTTTTAAAAGGAAGACAAAGGTACTTCAAATTCAATATATCTTTCTTTAATTTCATTGTAGGAGGCAGAGTAAAAGGTTTAAACAAGGGAATACTGCTTTAAATTATATTCTAATTACTCACACATGCAAATGTAACCCACTGCCAAAGCTGAGCAGCTTTATTTGGGTGTCTGTTTAAAGATGCAGCCTTGGAATCTTATAGAAGCTTAACACATTCAGAAGAATCCATGAACTAGGTACATGTGTAATATTATCAAAAACATAATTTCTTACATTATCTTCTAGGAGTTTCAAGTGTTTTATTAAGCCTAGAGTTCATAATCAGTGTAACAGGTAGGCAAGGTCATTGTTTATATTCATTTCACACACATTAAACTGGTTTCGGTAGATTTCAGTTTACAGAGAATTTATTGGATAATCTTGAAATATGTTAATCATATAATCCCTTTACACTATAGTATATATTAATAACTCATTGGGTCCTTCAGCATTAGACCAACTAGGGTTAAAATCGATTTCTTCCTTTTCCATTCATTTCTCTTCCTTTAAAAACATTTTATGAGTTCTTATTTCACACTGAAAAACATAGTTTAGGGAAAAGCAACAAGTCTTAAAGCTAACTTGCCTTTGTTTCTTATCTCTCCTTTCAACTTCGTATTTAGATCTCTAAGGGACACTTCTGTGTGTATGGGGTACTTTTCAGAATGGACTATAGGTACAAGAAACAGTGTCTCAGTTTGGACTGTGATAAACTGCATTGAATAGTTTTACGTACAGAAAAGTTATATCTTAAATTATGTCCTGAACATATGGAATTCATGTATCATGATTTTACATCCATTGCAAATGTGTATGTGCACACACCAGTGACTTGTATCTTGCAAAGCCTAAGGGGAGAAAATGTGGATTTAATCACAGGTGAAATGTTCGATGCTGATTTATACAGAAAATCAAACTTTTTGTGCCTCTGTGATGTTTTGATATCTAATCACCACCTACACATCTGTCTTTGTTTCTGTTTCCCCTCTTTTTCCTGGAAGTATCTTACAGGGTTTGCTCCCTGGATTTTTTTGGGAGGGTCCTTAGTTCATAGGCTCAAGAAATCATTCAAATCTGCTGTGTGACTTCATGATTAGGCCTACTTACTAAATGCGTGGTTTGCAAATTTTTCTATGACTAATGCAACACTTTGGGCTTGCAAAGGTCCCACATTTGTTCGAAATAAAGTAGCAAGAAACTGAAATAATGGGTCATAGGAACAGAGAAACCCCAGCACCAATTCTCTACAATATTTCTATCTCTACCAAGAGGGCAGTTGTTCTGTGATCCACATTGATTTTTCATAAGGGTGTTAACCATCTGTTCCCTCTTGTTTTTCCCCTCTTGCTCATTTACATCTGTTGCTTCTTCACCACTGACAGAAGCTTACTCTCCGTGTCTGATGCGCACTTCCATAAAAATTCCATATCCATGAGACTGCCTGGGTTTCACCTGTAGAGCTTCTAAGATAATTATGGGGAAACAGCAGCCAAGTTCACAGGAGGAAGCATCTTCCGATTAGATGTGCTCCCTGCCTCAGGGGTTGCTGGCAAGGGTTTGCTGCTGGCATGGTTTCCCTTTGAAAGGAGCACAGAGCTGGCAGTGTGACACATCCGTCCTGCTATGGCCGGGTCACCATGTCAAGTGTGCTTAGCTATAGGTAAAGCTATCTGGAGAGAAAGTACACAATAAATTGGAAACAGATGGATGTAACGACACACTTGGCCCTAGGTGTTTGACATTCTGATGATTTTATCTATGTAGCAAAAGAAAACACCTGGAAACCCCATATTTGATGATGATAAGTTCACATTTGGGACCATTTGCATTCGGATTTTCTTAGCTTGGTTTCCTTGTTTTTCTCTTTAACTCTTTCCACTGACAATCCCTTTCCATCAATCATGCACACTGCCCACCTCTTGTCTCCATTCTGTAACTCCACCTGGCCCTTCCCAACCACTTTTAGTTCAAATGAAAACTCTGAGTAGTGTGTGAGAGAACATGTGAGAAAGTTCACCATTCTTTTCACCGTCCAGGCTTTCTCTGTTCCCTGTGATCACCAAACTTCATAGTTACTACTATACTTAAAATGACACATTCCAGGTACAGCCGTACCGAGGATGTTTTTCCACTGCCTATGAAGTCAGAGAAGAGGACAGCTTGACAGGTAAACATCAGCAGCTTTGATTTCTGCAATAAAAATCTTCACATGTGCTTAGAGCTAATGCACAAACATACAAGGCATTTTATTCCCAACAACTTCAGAAACTATTGCATTCTTCTAACTTTATTGTCACTGGCACCCATACCAAAAAGGATAATATGAAAACATACAAATGCATCTGGACATTTTCTTGGGCAGTGGGGAGAATGGTATTTTAGAAATAATGGTCAACTTCAAGCCAGGAGTTGTATTTTATTTTGACTTGTTTTTTTCTGTTTAGGTTTTCAGAAGGTTGGAGGGTCTACATTGAAAAGGCATTAAATTGCAACTGGATTCAAGAGTACACAGTGGCTCAGATAGGTAAGTGTCTGGTAAGCAAATGGGAAGGGAAGCTATATGGGCATTTGGTTTAAGCTGGGTTGGGGAGGTCGTTGTGAAGGTTGCTCATGTGTAGAGAGAGGGTCATTACAGATGAGGGACACGGAAAAGTAACCCAATGAGACTCAGTAAAGGCTTTCAGGAAGTAGCACAAGAGACAACTCAAGTCTTGAAATGGTATTGAGTAAAATATCCAGGGTCAAATTACAGGGAGGACCAATGTGTCAGCAAGGAAGTTAGTAAACCAGAGATTAGGACAATATCCAAATGCACAAAAATAATCTTCGGAAACTCAGCTTCACAAGGCATTGCATATGGCTTGTTCAAGGTGATGTATCATCAACAGTGTGTGTC